AAGTTCACGTGGCATTATATCTCCGCCACTTTATTGATGTCAGCTTACTTCTGCGAATAATAATGACCAGTTTTCTATGCAAAATAAACATGTACTTGTAGAAAATATCTAGGAAATTATCAGTAACTTAGACCAAAGATCACTGTTACTGACTTCATATCAATGAACTTGGTTAAAGTGATATTAGAAGTGGATCAGTTACTGTTAGCAGTGTAGGAAAGCGAAACAGGAAATAATTTATTTATCACATTACAAAAGCAAATGAATTTTTACACCTGAACATACATTTACGCAAATGAATTGTCTTACAGATGAAAGCATTCTTTTATTTGTGCACAATGTATACACTATATTTTATTCTGATAAATACTAAGTGAATAGTGTTTATGTGTCAGTATGCTTTTTCTTAAAAATTAAATAGGCATTTGCTTAGTAAAATCAAGCGAATAAGTGAAGCGGAAAGAAAGAAAAAAAATAGGGCTGAATGCAATGAACTCAATTCTTTCTTTATGTGCAGAAAATACTTTTTTTTTATCTCTTTGACTGATTTATTTATGTGATGGTTTTGTTCATAATATTTTGTTTTTTTCGTTTTACTCACCAAGGTTGCTCATAGCACGTTATGCAATCTAGAAAAGTAAGCAAGTATAATTTCGAAGTAATTGTTGGAAATTAAATGAAAAATACTCAGGCCATAAGAACTGTCAATGAAGTTTCCGAATACTGTCCACAAAATGTTCTCTACCAGATTTTATGAATTATGATTATTTAACACAGAACAATCGTCATTCGCTGAAAACAGTAGTTCGCGCTAACTAATGGTAAAACAAAAGTGAGAATATTTAATATGATCCATTGCACAAAAGGTGGCTATCGCAGCCCAAGTGGTCTAGTGGATAACGCTTTAGTGTTCGAAACTATGGACACTAGGTCCGAGCTTCGGTGGGAACATTATCATTCATTGAGGAATGCAAGTACTCCCAGTTGACGAAATGTGCATCCTGGATTCCACTGCTAGTCACCATCCACCAGTTAAATTCTAAAAGTAAGAATACTTCTGAAAGTCTATTAGTTCAACGGTCATATTGTGTAAACTTCGTAGAGTGCCTAGTCTAATTATTAAGAGAACCTAGGCAGTGTAAAGCAGTCAAAGTGAAAGATTCTGGCCATGGTGTACTTCGCCGTTATCATTTACTTTTTATTCTACACTAATGGCAACTTATGTTCGCATAATACGGTAATACTATGCTTCGTAATGTAAAATATTAATCCAGATTCGAATTAACTATGTAAACTAGGCAGCGGTACATAGAATTTCAATTTTGCACATATATATGCACATATAAAATTTGTTCAAATTAATTTTGGGAATTAGATAACCAGTTTATAATTAAAAGAACAGATGTTTATTTTGTCTTGGATATATATATCAATGTAAAAGACCAGACAGTTTTCCTGTTTAAAACACAAAAAAACATTTAAAAAAAATTATGATTTGCTCGTTTAATTCCCGTAATCGCATAAACGATAATACAGTGTGTGTGTATGTATGTAGCATAGACAATTGCAGTTTTATCAGTAATGCAGGTTATCAAAATGCTTTACTAACGATCAAAATGTTAGAGGGTGAACGAGATTTGTATGATATAAAGTGTGATCATCGGTGTCTAGTGTTTTTGCAGACAAATTTCCATCAAGTTACTCCAACCACTTTCATTTAGAATTTATAATATATTGAAATCAATTTTTATAGAACAAAACAATGATGATTTTGGCTTACTGATAACTATTTGACAACAAAGTATGAGACATGTCGGTATTTGCTAGCGATGTGTACATTAAAAAAAAAAGAAAAACGGGGATGATTCTTAAGAGTTTTACTTTTAGGCAAATTTTGTCACAAACACACACACACACACACACTACCATTAGATTAGAAGTTGAACTGATTTTGGGATCTTCATCAATGCGCATGTGTTACTTACTCCATCAGGATGTGTCTTGCTGAAGAAACCCGAACTAGCATGAAACAGCTTCTTCTTAGGAATCCCTGGGTTTCAACAATTCTTAAAACTGATATCAAATCGTGATCTAGGCTGCAATCAGTATAATCCCCAAAAACCAACACACCAAATTTATATAAACTGATTGTATGTCTTCCTCAGCAATAGCAACAACAACAACAGACAACAATCAGCATAAATGGGAGGAACCTGAAAGAAACAACCTCCTTCACCTACCCACCTACCTGAGAAGCATCGTTTCAACTACACGTGGACGGAACTGAAGAGGATATCAAAGCCAGGAACATCGGGAAAGCAAGACAAGTTTTCATTACTCTCACCAAGTCTGTGTGGAGGTCAACAACACTCACCATCAAAAATAACATCCAGATTCTCAACTCCAATGGGAAGTGAGTCAGTCAGTGCTGCTATACGATTGGATCAGAGACTTGGCCAGCGCGTCATAAACAGCATCTCAAACAAACTACAGACCTTCATCAACAGCACTTGTCTTCGCTCAACACCACTGAAGATCAGATGGCCGGCCGGCCGGCCAGAAAAGATCAGCAATAGTGAGTGATCTCTAGGAGCGAACCAACCAGGAACCGATTGTGAAACAAATAGGCAGGAAGAAATGAAGATGGATTGCATTGTGGCCATACTCTGAGGAAAGCATCAAGTGAGTGACATCACTAGACAAGCCATTGCTCGAGTGGGACCCGAAAGGGAAGGGGGTGGCGAGTTGGTCGTCAGTGACAGGGTGGCGTGACTTGGAGGAGGTCATGTGAAGAGGAGATGAAAGCGTGTGGGCAGACTTGGAGCGGGGTGAAATAGTTGGTAGAAAACCGAAGGCAATGGAGACGTTTGGCTGAAGCCCTATGTTCTTCTAGGAATTAAAGGATATAATAATATGTCCTCCTCGTAGCCTGGTGATGTTCCTGTTACAAAACAGTTGAACCTGCTTAGTGTTTAAATACCTCCGACAAACACTTCTTACTGACGTAAAATAGATATAAACGTGATCATCAAAAAGTTTTCACCCGTCACAGGCAGTTTTTAATAAACGTTAGAGATATTAAAGCAGCTGCGGGAATTTTTTTCTCCAATCATAGATTTTCATGACTGCTTATTACGATATATGAATATTTGATGAAACAAATGTAAATTTATGTCTGTTTATGTCTGTGTGTGGCCTTTTAGCTTGAAATGTAGATTTTAAAACCGTAAGGTAGATTTTACCTGAAATGTATGTCCAAAATGTATGTCCACTATGCAACACATAGTGACCTTACAAGGCACTTGAATACTTGTAAAACAGAATAGAATTATTAACACCTGACCTATAATAACAATCGTAAGACAAAAAATAATTGTCCACTTCAAGGTCAGTTAGTAGACTGTCATACACCGTGATAGCGAGCTACTTAGAATGATGGTTACATTGAAAGTCCTGACTGATAGAATTCAGTCTGCACCAAAGAAAGGACTAGACACGTCACACTAGTTACTAGTGTCCAATCGAAAGACTATCATACACTTAATAATTTACAATTTCGTTTGTAGAAGCTGAATGTTTAGGGTGTCGTATGTACTTACTGCTGACACAGAGAACGAGGAAAACGAAGTATTTGTATTATTTAAACATTTCAGTTCATCCATAGGAAATGGTCTGTACCTGTTCCAGGATCTTCAACGTCAGTAACATTGAATTACACAACACAAAAAGTAGTATCATTTTGGGAGACAAATTTGATGTTATTGTCATAATTAGACTTAATTCACAGTATATGACTACGTAATTATGCATGTGAATCAGCAGGATATTGAATTCATAAGTTGAACATTATTTTAAAGGAAAATGAGTAAAAATTGAAGCAATGAACACATTTGTTTGACTGTATTCTTGAAAGAAATGTCTCTTAGACAGATGTAATAATAGCGCATTATACAATTGCAATCAGGCATTATATTCTTTGTATTTAGTTCATCTACCCTACCTAAAAAAGTGTATTTTGGAATAAAAATTATATTTACTCTACTTAGACCCATAGTGCATAAAGCTTCGATTGGTTTAACTGCCTTTCCTTCAAAAATCATTTAATTTATCGTGATCATCTACACGAACTAGACACCAGCTACAGGTTATTTTTAACTGTGTGCAAAGAATAAAACGCTACTTTGTGAAGGTTTTGATTCGGATAGACATGGTGGTAAATGCATCATAAAACTTTCTCGTCATTCTGAGCTGATTAGTTTGTTTTGGCTTTGCATTCTACTAGCTAAAATCCATCAGATATGCTTCCATACAGAAGTCACTGCTTCGTCTCGTATCCTATATTTTCATGTTACAGTGTACTGTGTAGGTAGTTCACTAGTAGAATACTCACCAACTACACGGGTCGTTCAGGATAAGATTCCTGATTGACGTACTGCGAAGCCTCCCTAAGCCGATAGCAAGCTCAGCAAAGCTTATATATATACACTGCAGTGTCTCTTTCGCAGTTACACACTAAGGAAAATTCATTCCTTGGAATTAACTTGACCGTATTCAATGAAAACAAATTATTAAGTCCGGATATCTACTTAATTAACAGGAAGTACTAAGAGATTAAAAGAAGATTTTGCAAACTCTGAAAATGATAAGTAAATACAGATAAGGAAAAATTTTACCGGCGTGTCAAGTCTAGGCACACTTTTTGTTAACTAACTGGTGATAAAGCACACTCGAGTATTATTATACCAGAAATGATAGCTCTGTTTAGATCTCAAGATGGAATTAAGTAATGTACATTTAAATAACCAGTAGCAAACTGTATTACCTCGACAACGATTACTTTTATCTGAAATGGTGAACACATATAAAAAATTCACAAAAAATCAAGTGTCAAATGATATAGATGACCATTTATGTCGATAGGTAAAACATAATGAAACTAATTCAGTTCATTGATTAATGAACAAGTATGTGAAATAACCAACTAAAAACACGTCACTCACATCAAGTGAATCGCTGTTAACCATTGAATTGGTGATGTTATTATCAACATCGTCTAAATTTGTAACTTGTATTGAATTTCTTTGTTCACACATATTATGCGTATCAAGGATATAGTATTCCGGTTGACCATCACTATTATCAGATATCACTAAATCATTATTAATACGATGAGTAATAGTTGGAGCTGTATCAGAATCATCAAAAGGTGAGTTAGCATCATTTGTTATTGTAGTTTCACATTCGTCGACAGAAGAATAATTCGAGAAGTAACCAGATGTCGGTGATGATTTAACCTTCTTCTCCTTATAGCGTTTACGTCTTTCTTGTCTACGTTCAGACCAAGATTTTGTTGAGGTATCTACAGGAGATTTGATTCCATTCGGCTTTTTCTCTTCTAAGGAGTTTTCATTGACAGTTATTCCCATTTTTTCAATTTCTTCGCTAAAATTTGGTGGATTCACGTTATTTTCACTTCCTCCTTGATAATAAGTTAATACGAAAAATGAAATTGTGTTTTTATGTTTTGGATTAATTAAGAAAGATATAATTTTAGGCAGTTATTGTCAGTGATACTTAAGAAACTTTCATTACAGTAACTATTATTGAAGCAAATGTTCGAATTCGAAAAGTTACACATTGCTCAAATTTTCGTATTGAGTACAGCGGGTAAAAGCTCTTTGAAAGACTGTGTCTTTCAATTGTAAGTAGGGTAAATTTCCTTGCATTTACTTACATAAAGAAGCGAAGGTAATTGGCTTTCGTTTTCAAGTATCACATGTATATATATATATATATGTAAGTTTAAGAAGTTCTTATGTTTACTGTAGATCATTAGTCATTATGCATCTTACCTCTGTAACCTCAAAAACATAAACAACTGTTCCACTACTTCCAAAGATTAATGGTTATAACCCATTTTAAAAATTGTTTCAATTTCCTGTCACATAATATTGTTCACTGTCTGTTGGTCCAATGAACAAACTTAACGTATGTTTGTGAAACAAAGTGAAGCTAAACTCACCGGATTTTTTTGTGGGTTTTGTCTAACTGTAATCACATCTGATATTGTATAGTTTAAATTGTAGCACATTGTTGAATGTGCCAATGTTTATGAGCTCCATAAATTTATTGGGTAATCAGTATACACATAGAAATTGGGCTGAATACAGTCCTATATTATCACTGCAACTAGAGTTTAACAAATCTTGCAGTGATATGTTCTGTGGAAATCTGTTTAACCCAGTCACCGATCATTTATTATCAACAAGTGGAGGATATACTTTTAATTATGTGATTACCATTTACGTTGTTAGCTCAAAAATACCTTGGAAATTCTATTTATCTAAGATTAATTTCGTCAGGTGAATTGTGCAAGCTTACTAAGACAGTTATAACTGCATTTATTGGGCAACTAATCGACACTTTTGTTTGTACTCAAGTTTTATTCAATTCATCTCTTCTGGTACACATATTCTTCATTAGATATACACGATGCTTTAGCATGTAATCTATTTACATTGCTGATATTTTAAACACCATAAGAAAACATACTTGAAACTTCACCGGTGATAGCTTGAATTCAAGATGATGCACTTTACTACTAACGATTTGCCTCGTTCTCCTGTCTTGGACGAATTTCATAATATTTACTTGATGTTTTTTTTCCTTCACGTTCCCAGTGGAACGTAGGGCTTCAAGCTAGTGGCTTGAAGTTTCTGTAGCAGTGTTTATTTTTACAGGATGTGGTTGCTAGCCTCATGTCCAACCTTCCGTCTTCACCAGGATTATTTCTGGCTTAGCGAGGTAAAGGGGGTGCGTCGGCCGGGGATCGAACCCTGGACCATGTGCATGGTCGGCAAGCGTCCTAGCCGCTGTGCCACCGACGCTTAACTTGATGTAAGTTATTCCAAATGTAACAGTCACCTTGAAAAAAATGACTTTCAACTATCACTATTCCATCTCAACCTCTGAGTCACCTATTTTTATGCAGATATTTCGTGTAGTGATAAAAGAATTCACATCCAGTATATAAAATACAATATGTGGACTGACGCGATAACATTTACAACTCCTGATTTGTTTACCAACCATCCTTATTTTCGCTTTAGTTAATTTTAAAAAATTTCATTTTTAAAAGAAACTTCATCTACCACTAAACTGTTCCTAAAATGTAGTCATGTATTCTTTGACATGAAAATCTGATTTCAACCAACACAGATTAACTTTTCTTATTTTTGACAACATAAAATGTACAAAACGCATATTTAGATATGAAATAGCTCACTGTGTAAAGTCTTTTCCATACTGACTTCTGCAGTATTATTGGCTTTTGTGTAATCCAACTGATTTTCGCTTTTTTCAATAAGATACTTATTTGTAGTTGAACTGGTCGATTGCGTTGTAATTTGTAGCACTGAACTAAATCGTTTTTTGTACCATTTCCATGCTTTCTCGGTTAAAGCAAATAACAATCCAAGAAAACATAGAAATAAGGCTAACCCATATAGCCCTAAGTAGAACTGAAGCATTCTGTTCACTTGCACTTCCTCTACAAATGAATATTTAAAAAAATTTTTTTTATATACAATATATGTACACAAATGAAATGATGGATTATGAAGAAAATTATCCTTGAATAAGTAATTAAAAAATAGAAGCATTATTTTGTCTTATTTTAGAAATTCAGTCCAAACAAAAATTTAGGTCCATCATGCCTGATTACAGATCAACGTTAGTCAGAGAACTAGTGGAAAACACAGAGTACTGGAGAACTATTTTGTCCTAGTTTAGGATACTTTGGGAAGTTTCAACGGTTCTTGAATTGATGTTAAACTGTGACTACACTTGAAACCAATCATATCCCTCACAAACTAACACTTGAAAATTTGGAGTGTATGTTGGAAACTGTGAACTTTAAAATACAAAAGTTTTTAGTAAGATAATATCAGTCCATTTAGGAAGAAAAACCTTAAATTAGTTGAAATAAGTTTTGTGGTGAATTTATGCATATGCATCCAATTGAAATCAAGACGCTACAGATAATATCAAAAGATAAAAAATAGTGGAACAAAATCTGGAAGTTATGTGACTATTTTCATGTGAATATGAGCGTTAAAGTGTGCTTCACATGTCATGATTAAATAAACAGTACTGCATCATTGAGCGTTAGATCAGATACTGTCATTCCGCTATGGCTTCATGCAATTTCTATCTCTAACACTATCATTTTTTGACTACACCTAATGTTTTCTAGAATATTATTTTGAACTCTACTCTTAGTTGTAGAAAGTGACACGCTTAAGTGCTTTGTCAATGAACCCAAATTCTTTATATTTCAGCGAATCACTTACACGAATCTGTTTTTCGATTATTTACCTTAATTCAGAATTCGGGTACTTTCTGGTGGGTATTGTTAGAGGTGTTAAAAGACTTTAACATGACTTTATCGTGTAAATTTTACATGCACATCATGTATTTGTTGCAAGTTTATCCAGTAGTAAGAGGTATGTCAATTAACTTCTGAGCAGGTATTTATTCCGACATAATCAAAATGCCAATGTGTTGTATGTGATGACTGGCGTCTTGAGTTGACTGTCGTAGAACATGAATGCATTAAACGTTGTAGTAGCGTTTAGCTTGTAATATATAATAATGATAATAATCTATAATATTTAGATTACAATGAAATGTTAAGCCAGATTGGGAAAAACATACCATCATAGACTGTCAACATAATATATAATTGCTGCTTAGAACAAAAACACTAGAAAAAGCGTAACTTAGAAATAAGATACGGAATGCTAATCTAATTGCTTTAACTATTCTGTAAGTCGTCAGATTTCCTATATCATATTGGACAGATACTTTATTGTCTGACTAATTTTGGCAACATGTGTATAATTGAGGCACGCAATGAATACAAAATAGTACTGTAATTGGCTTAAAATATCTACATGGTATATATTCAGGAGGTAAAGCATGATAAATCACGTATTTTCAAAACTTTTCAGTAAAGAGCTCAAACGATTTTGGTAGCTTAAGGCATATGTATGCATATACGCATACACTGTTGGCCTCTTCAAACCTGTCAGTCAGTTGGCGAAATACGTCTTCAGATTACGAGGATTAGAATTATCCGTTCAGGCTAAAACACCACGTGAAGAACCATAATATCGACTGTAGTTTCGTTGAATTTCTCAACGTTAACAAGTTTTCCAAAAGTAATGGGTGTAAAATGACTTCAGCCATCACGTTTGCTTAGTTTCATTTCCTGCAGAGACTAATTGGCAGAAGAATTTTCAATTCAGTATTCAGTAGTGACTAATAAATCTAAAAGATCCACGTCTAAAATGGTGAAACATGGATAGTAAGGTGTGTTGAGTTAAGCGAGAATGAACTTAATCACTAGTAAGAAGGAGTAATGTTATACATATCTATCAAATAGGCATTATTTAATAAACATAAGCTATTTCTGCCTCAGTCACTAGCTGGATGGTGAGGTATTTACTCGAAGCTCGTGTTACTGTATTTGTGCACTTCTAAGGACTGAAAAACTACAGTTTGAGAAATGGTCCTAGCTTTCAAAGGTCCTCAGCATGATGCCAGTTTGTCAGTGACAGAATGGAACCGATGAACTGCTTCCAAACAGATGTCTGCATTAAATGATTTGTACTGCTTATTTACAACAAATCTGTAAATTTACTTACACGTGCTACTAAATTTGCGGATGTATTTATGAAGTAACATGGTGACCTTCGAATTGTATGCTAATAAGATTACAGCGGCTGAAATAAATAGAGATACCATAAAGTAAGTTTCTAATTTGAGAAAAGTAACCCAGCAAGTCAACAGGATACTGACAGCTGTAATTACGCTGTCTAAAATGGTTTAATCTTTTTTTCAAATGATATCGCAGCCCTGTTCCATCTAAATGTAAATCTTTTGCTATTATTATTTGAGTCAATTCCTTCTAATACAATTCGTTTTCCCTAAAGTTAACATATGCAACACTAGTAGTGTGAGAAAATCAATCTAAACGTCACACTCTCTCTCTCTCTTTAAACACGCATATATTTCATGCAATTTTGTTGTTTTTTAGACATTCAAAGTGCAAGCAATGTAATAAATTCAGGTCAAATTTATGAAGAATAATGAAAATCGTCTGGTGATGGTGGGAGTCACACTTATTTTTATCAGTTCACTCGATAATACGACAAAAACTTCCGATTAAACTTTTTATTTATCTACATAATACAAATCCATTTACTTATCTCGAAAATCTATGATTAGAAATTCTTAAGAATGAAGTGTGGAAATTAATACAACCCTAATTATTTTGAGTACTTAATAAATTAACGTACGTTCGTGTTCCTTGTGCACCAGTAGTTACGAGTGAATCCTTAAAAAATGAAGCAGATATTCTTAACACACTCTGAAGTGTATCTAGGGTCATTTAATATTTACCAATCTAAAAATATGTAAAATAAATGCTGTTACTAAGAAGTAACGCTTTGTTTTCTATTTTTTAAATTTTGTCAGCCTATCTTTTCGCTCCACCCCCTCCCTTAACTTTTCGCTGGACTTTCTTAAGAGGTAATTTTTCTTGGTCTTCTGAGTTCTACTCACTGTATTACATCATCAAACTCTCATCTGACCTCATGTGCACCGAAATTGTAAAATTTTGATCTTCTCTTATCTAATTACGTAATTATTGACAATTGTCTCTTGTTACTACCCCAACAACACAACTGTCAATTAATTTTTTTCAAAAAACTTCTCTCTATTAAGATATATATGTATGTCGTAACACTTTAGACACCCTGTAAATCTCAACACCGTATTTTACTATGACGTTCTGACAGTATGCTTGCTAATGGACAAGGGTTTGTTAAAATTGTACACTTTTTATTTTTATTTAAAAAATTCAGGTTGTACGCAGCTGATGTGAACTAACGAAGTAAAATGGATCCAGATTATTCTGCCCCAATGTAAAAATCAAGTCCTCAGTTACTGTGTCGATCAAATGTTCACAACTTGCTGTATCTGAATACAAATTACTCTTAGACTTAATTTTATCTCACAGATTTTTCATGCAGTGTTGGTGAAAACTGACATTATATATATATATATATATATATATATATATATATATATGTATAACATATTAATGACTAGATTTCTTTGGTACTTTGGTGCATAAGTGTAACAGTGATTTCGAAAGTTTTATAATAAATAATTGTTGCTTCAAAAACGTCTTCTTCCTATTAAACTCATGGCTGCTTTACACCTCATCACTGTCTAAAATTCAAGTAATCTCGGTTTGCAAGAAAAAACAAATCGAAAATATCCCAGTGAGAATCAAAGAACTAATAAAAGTCAGGCCTTCAAGATAAACAAAACTCTACGCAGATAAATCCTTCAGATATGTATACTAAATCGCCTTGATGACTGATAATTTTGGCTGGCATTCATATGATGAATAGCCAGTGCACTTTCTCTGTCCACTGCAATCAGAATATACAATGATATTGAATATGTAACAGTAGCAAGGAGAATAAATGATGGAAGCCTAAGAAAAAAAGCTGCGTAAGCATTTGCCTGTGATTCGAATTCATATTTCTATAACAGAAAATAAAATTTAGAAAGTTATCGAAATAAGCGTTTTTCTGTCAATAACAGTAGTCTTCCTTTTTATATTTTTATTCGACGAATTGCCTGTCCCAGATCGTCTGCATTAAAAAGTGTTACTTTGTCTTCTAAGGAATGCTGTGTCATTTCTTATTTTTATTTAACGTTGTGTGAATATTTCAAATCTACTTCAAAAAATAAATGATTTTTAAAATTTAGTCAACTTGAGGTAATATAGGTTCTTTAGAATATGACGCAGTACTTATCTGACAGTTATGATCGCATATTTTACAGTCTTATTATGTTTTATAAATATCGAAAATGCTATACTGACATATTAACTAAAAATATTTAACTTCTATTATTACTATTTCTTATACTGTATGTAGAGGTGACATAATCGGTGAGAATTACGATAGCGTACAGTAGACTTAAATGAGTCAGACAGTCCTACTTAAATGTCTTTCCTACCTCAGGTGTCGAGGGATTGAACACAAAAATCAGCGCATTTATTTCATAACATAAATGTGGATTTCTGTTATACAAAATATGTTGCTATCAAAAGTATTTAATAAGGATTATTTCTGTTATATTGCAACTGGTTCTGTAAGTGAAATGTTTTTTAGTGCAGAAATACAGTGATATTTTAATTCCATAAAAGATAATTTCGATATAACACGTAGTGATGCATCATTAATAAGTGAATGGCATTTCGAGTACAGTTTATTGTCTATAGTCATACCAATGTATCCCCACAGTTTCCTAATTTGTCTGGCATCTGTTTTTAACTATCTTCCATCTTAGTGTACCTTTCCATATATTTGGAAATGACGCTGCATCTTTTCTATTGCATTTATTGGATGTTAACTTAATGAACACATTTTGATAGATACTTGGATGT